CAAACTGACACAAGAGCAGAAAATCAAACACCGCATGTTCTCACTCATAGGCAGGTATTGAACAATAAGAACACATGGACGCAGGGAGGGGAGCATCACACACTGGGGTCTGTAGAGGGGAAATAGGGGAGGGACAGCGGGAGATGGGAAGATGGGGAGAGATAGCATGGGGAGAAATGCCAGATATAGGTGATGGGGAGGAAGGTAGCAAATCACAATGCCATGTGTGTACCTATGCAACAATCTTGCATGTTCTTCACATGTACCCCAAAACCTAAAATGCAATAAAAAAATTAAAAAACACAACTTTTTCTTTTTTCAATTTTAAATAAGTTTAGGATTAAATATTCAAAAGCTTACATTTAGCTCCGACTGGCTAAATTGCATGAGAAAAGCAAAATCTCCAAGTAGCCTTACATTTTTAGTAACAAATCTCATTTTTTGTTTGCTGGCCTGGTTTGCTTACTAATCAGTGAAGGTAGGGAAGCGTTTGAGCACATTTCTTCTGTGGCGTTTTTCACCCTACCTTGTAGACAAAGCAAAATGTTTATGTTGGACAGAGATACCTTACAATGTTGACCTGAGGTCAAGATTTTGACTTGTTTGATCTGGAAGCCTAACTGTCATGAACATGTATCTAGTTATTTTTCTTGTAAGCTTATTCAGGTAACTGTTCCATCACTATAAGTGATTACTAGCCAGGCATTTGACATTTCTGAAAAATGTTCAGGTTACTGTAATTTGTCAAGCCACAAATTTTAAAGCCCTTTAAGACTTTTTTATTCTTGAGTGGAATGAGCAATGAGTTTTATTTCAGCATCAGTAGAAAAGTCAGCAGATTCAGAGTAGGCAGGAAAAATCATAGAGAACTGAGAAGACTCTCTACATGTCCACTCTATAGTTAGAAGTTTTAAAAGAGTTTGAAAATGACCATTTCAGCTGTGAAATTTTAAATATAATTTCCCTATTGGTTTGAAAATGTGCTCCAAAATGACCCCTAATGCTGGCTCAAATCCCGGAAAACCTGGCATTCCTTAATGTTTGAGAATCCCATTTAGTTTCTTATTAATCTCTTTAGAGCAAAGACAATCCCATTAATTCTGTCAGCAAATGTCAGGAGTTTAGACTGATGTTTTAGATGGTAGTGACCATCCTAGTGGCTTTTAGAATCTGCATCTGCCATTTAGAATGTCTTCTTACCCTGAGAATATTTTTAGAAGGTAGCAAGAGGAAAGAGCCAAATCATTTATAGTTGCACATAAGCAAACCAAAATGAAATCAAAATCAGAGTGTTCACAAAAACTTTAACCCAGGCATGTGGAGCAAAAAAATCTTAAACTAGGCATGCAGACCATGTGAATTCACCAGAAATACATGCCTCAGACACAGGAAATAAATTATGTAGAATCCAGGATATTCAAATCAGATGGGTACTTGTCTTTATAACAGAAAGGACTTGTTGTATAAGACAGTAAGTCTTATCGTTCTAGGAGAGAGATAAGGTTCTTTATTACGGTGGCCTTACAACCAAAACAAACCCCATATGAAGTCATAAACCACTCACCAAAGTGAGTGAGTCTGAGAATCTGAGAAGAGGTTCACTAGGGCATAAAAGGTAACTCGTGGAAACAGAGCATGTAAAGTCCTCATTTGTACCACATTTGATTCCGGGGGCTGCTGATTCTTCTGAAGTCAGCTCACTTTGATCATACTTCTGACACCATTTATATCAACCTAAATAACAGAGAAAGGCTCTCTAAAAGAAAATGGCATTTACTTGGGAATAGGGCATTCATGTGCCTTAGTAAATTGTGTATATATTCAGGGAAATAAAGAAAGACAAAGATTTTTAGAGGAGAATTAGGATTGTATGATTTTTCAGACAATTATTTTTGGCTACAAGGATTAGTAACAAGGGTGATGCCATCTGAGGTCAGATAGGCAGTTGCTGGGCAGACATCTTTACATAAACATTTTTTTTGTGTGTAGGACTGCAATGGCCTTTATGCAAGGTTGTGGTTTCTTTTTTTTTTTTTTTTTTTTT